AGTTGCTTAGCACCTCACTGTTGCTGAGGCTGGCTTTGAATTCTTTTATGATTTTCCGGTCTCAGCCTTCTGAGCCCTGGGATTACAGGCATGTGCCACTGCACCCAGCTCTTGATGATTTTCAAGAATGCAATATATTGTTATTAGTTATGGTCATCCCAATGTACAGTAGTAATAGAGCTCTTGAATTTATTATTCCTGCCTAACTGAAACTGTATCCTTTGACCAACATTTCCTATTCACTCCCGCCCATCCAGCCCCTGGTAAGCATGCTAACTCTCTACTTCTGAGTTCACCTCTTTTAGATTCCACCTATGGGTGAGATCAGGTAGTATTTGTCTTTCCATGCCTGGCTTGTTTCACTTAACATAACATATGAAAATAACATACACAAAGTTAAGGCAGATAGTCTTGCTTTTAAAACAAATTGACTAAGGACTCTTGAATTGCTCAAAAGTTGCAAACTAAAGGACGACTCAAAGTAACTTCAAGCACTCTCAGAGCCATTCTTCTGTAAATGGACTGTGGCATGATGAATATAACATAACTTTTATACAAATAGGTTATTAGTGACAACTTGGTCAAATGGATTAGGTCAGTCTTGGAAGGAACAGACTGAGTTCCTGTCCTTCCAGCAGATCCTGTGTCACTCTCCTCCTCCTTCAGTGAGTTTGAGCTTAGTGCAGGCCTGTGGTTTTGTCTAATGTGGACCTGACTTGCAATACCAGCTCCACAACTTAATAGTTTTGCTAGGTGGTCACCTGGCCTCCCTGGTCCTCAGTTTCCTCCTTTGAAAAATGTTAGTAATGCTGGGCTTGGTGGTACATGTCTGCAATCCTAGCAATTCAGAAGGCTGAAGCAGGAGGGAGGCCACCCTGGGCAACTTAGTGAGACCCTGTCTCAACATAAAAAAAATACAAAAGACTAGAGGTGTATCTCAGTGGTAGAACACCTCTGGGTTCAATTCCTAGTACTGCAAAAAAAAAAAAAAAAAAGTTAATAATATGCACTGTGCAGGATACTTAAGTGGGGTAATTGCTGGCAGATAGTAGGTGCTCAAAAATGAAACCATCACAAGGTAGCAATAAGAATCAGTTGGAGAAGCTACTTTGCCTTTTCCTGTTAAGAGATCCCCTGTGTGCCCCTCATGCATTTCAAAGCCAAATAGCTCAGATTTGGGGTAGGCAGCTGTTTTGGACAATAGGGTTAGTTTGGGAAGACTTCCTGGAGGAGGGAAGTTAGAGGTCCTGAAAATAAAATAAAAGAGATGGTAGGCTTAATGGGGTGGGGCTGAGCAGCTCTGAACCCTGCCTGTTCTTGTCCTTAGGACTGCGCCCGGGGTACTGCCAACTGTGTGGTGTTCAGCTGTCCACTCTATAGCTTTGACCGTGCGGCTGTGCTGCACGTCTGGGGCCGCCTGTGGAATAGCACCTTTCTGGAGGTGAGGGCTCTGCTGGGCTTCAGGCTGGGTTTCTTCTTCTGCAGAGGCCCCACTGGGATTCATCGCTACCTTGTTCTTATCTAAATGCAGCATATTCCTGAACCAAGACAGACAGAATCAACCTTGGCATTGGGCACCATTCCATTTATAATTTCAGGAGCTGGGGGAAAGTGAGGGGAACGTGGGGCATTTAGGAGGAGGGTCCCTTTCTCCACTCTCTTAGGAGTACTCAGCTGTGAAGTCCCTGGAAGTGATTGTCCGAGCCAACATCACAGTGAAGTCCTCCATCAAGAACTTGCTGCTCAGAGATGCCTCCACTGTGGTGAGTTGCAGGGCTGGGCTGGCTGGGTGGGGAGACTCTCTTCTTTCCTTCTCCCTCCAGCTCTCACTCCATTAACTCCTTATTCCTCAGATTCCAGTGATGGTATACTTAGACCCCATGGCTGTGGTGGCAGAAGGAGTCCCCTGGTGGGTCATCCTCCTGGCTGTGCTGGCCGGACTGCTGGTGCTAGCGCTGCTGGTGCTGCTCCTGTGGAAGGTGAGGCTTGGGGAGGGGGGCACCTGCTGGAGGCTAGACTTCCTGGTTGGGCAGGCAGACATTTGAACTGTGGCTCTCTCACTCACCTTCACACGGATGTATTCAACAAATCTACATTAAGCGCTGACCCTGCATGCACCAGGGACTCTATCCAGCCCTGAGTGTTTCAAAGATAAGTCTGATGCAGATCTTATTCTCAGGAATTTTGTAGCGTAGTGGGGTTATTGAGCCTCACAGTCAAAGACAAGGCAGAAGGGGTTGAGTTGAGAAAGGGGGAGTTCAGAGGAAGGGAGACTCAAGAGCAGAGGGCTGTGGAGCTGGGTCTTAAAGGAAGGTGAGTTGATAGAATCTGGATATGGGGAGATGGGGTGGGTGGGGCCTGAGCCTTCCAGAAGGCCCCTGGTAGGCAAAGACATGGAGCTGGGGAAGTATGGTCTGATTTAATGAGTGTGGCAGTGAAGGCTGGAAAGAAAGCTGTGGCCCAAAAGGCCACCAAGTGTGGAGAACTAGTTCCAGGAAGCTGCCTGCAAAGCTGGACTTTGAGCTTCCACATACCAGGTCCACATGGAACCATTCTTGAACACACCCAGCTGTAACAGAATCCCATTGATATCTGGAGTGCAACGTAAAAACACACCCACCCACATATCAGTACAGGCAGTCACATACATCACCAGGGCTCATCGTCTCTGAGCCACACACCACATCTGGGGATGGGTGCAGAACCGTGCATGTCCTTGGGCTCTGCGGGGCACTGCCCTACTTCCCACCTGTCCCCTGGGACCGATCACAGAGTGAGCACACCTTTTGGCAAGTGGACCAGGCTCTGGAGTGGCATCTAAGCAGTGGGGAACCTGCCCAGTCTTAAGGGAGATTGATGTCTTCATGAAACTGGCCCCAGGATGCTTTCCCCCTGCACCCCAGAAACAGCAGAGATAAGGCCCCCTCGTCTTCAGTCTTTCCATCCTCTGCCTCTTTTGCTCCCCTCCTCCCTCAACTTCCCAGTGCGGCTTCTTCCATCGGAGCAGTCAGAGCTCATCTTTCCCCACCAACTATCACAGAGCCCATCTGGCTGTACAGCCGTCGGCCATGGAAGTTGGGGGTCCAGGGACTGTGGGGTAACTTGTATGTGTGCATGAGTGTGTCTGCAACTATGTGTGTGTGTGTGTGTGTGTGTGTGTGTGTGCGTGTGTATGTATGTATGTATGTGAGAATGAATAGAGTTCTAGCATTCAGGGATCAGGAATAAGGAATGTGTTTGCATAAGGGTGATGTGAGTCCTAGTGACGGAGGCGAGAAATCATTAGGAGGCTGAGGTTATAAGGGTGTGTGTATACAGCTGGGGGCATGCACTAAGAGCTGGGTGGGCTCATGGCTGAGCATGTAGGAGTGTGGGGAGGCTCCCTGCACGTCTCTTCTGTAGGCATGAGTGTGCAGAGATGGATGTGCAAGGAGATGCTGTGCAGCCTGAGCTTGGGGAGTCTTGGGAAGCTCTGAGTATGAGTATGGAAAGGCCACATGGCCATCTTGGTGTGCAGGACCAGCATGGTCATGATGTAAGGAGGGGATGGAGTACTGTATTCAGGGAGGAGAGGTCCCTGCCTAAGGGAGGTGCTACCCAGTGTACAAGCACACAGGGGGTGTGTAAGGCGCGAAGGGGCCAGATATGCAGGGGTTGAGGAAGCCATTTCCTCCTCAGATCTTGGGGGATGCTGTTGGCCTCTTAAGAAGCTTGGGTGGATAGAAATCTTGGGAGTTAGAGGTCCTGATGTCCCACCTCCAAGCCTCCCTTTCAGAGGCTCAAGGAGATTTCCTTTCCTGCTCCTCGGGCCCCCTCTTGATCTTCCTCTTGCTGTGAATGAGAACCTGGGGCCCTGGCACTGGTGGTACCCTGGGTACTGCCCATGGTGCTGGGTGCTGGCTGGCCTGTCTCTGTTCTGCTTCAGCTGGTTGTTTCTCTCCCAGGGGTGGTGGGGGCAAGGTTCTGTGCTGTGGGTGTATATCCCCAGGGCCTCAGCCCTGCAGCTCCTCATAGTCTGGCTTGGCGTCCTTATAGATGGGATTCTTCAAGCGGGCAAAGCACCCTGAGGCCACAGTGCCCCAGTACCATGCAGTGAAGATCCCTCGTGAAGACCGGCAACAGTTCAAGGAAGAGAAGACAGGGACCATCTTGAGGAACAACTGGGGCAGTCCCCGACGGGAAAGTCCTGACGCACACCCCATCCTGGCTGCTGATGGACACCCTGAGCTGGGCCCTGAGGTGCACCCTGTGCCAGGCACTGCCTAGCTTCCTTGGTCTCATCCTAGCCCAAGGGTCCCTTCCACCTCTTCCTGAGTGGCTCCTCTGGATGAAGAGAGTAGAATTGGTTGCTGACACTGCCTCAAGATTTGGCAGGATCTGCTTTCTCAGGAGCACAGACCTCACCCACCCATGAGAACCACCCCGATCTTCCCCTTGGAATGCTGGGAGACAAGAGGGTGTCAACCAGGGATGGGGCTGTGGGGCAGGGCAAGAAGGGCAGGGATGTCCTGCTATATGGTGGGGATCAGAATCCCTCCTTCTGCCACTCCCGCTGTGTAACCTGTCTCCCCCAAAGTGCCTTAGCCGGACAGTCAGGGAGGAGATTGTGTTGCTGACTCAGGGGCTTCTCCCTCCTCAGTTTCCCTTCTCCTCTGACCTTAGTTTGCTGCATCAGTCTAGTGGATTTTGTCTATTTATTAAAAAACATTTGAAGACAAAATCTCTGGCTTCTTTGCTAAGTGCTGCTCCCTCCTCCCCAGGGTCTCCCCTTCTCTCTGGTACCCCCACAGCTCTGGATAAAGGTGGTAGTGGGGAGGGACACTCGGGTGGCCAGGCAGGGTTGCAGTACCGTGGCTTCTGAAGCTAGTCTCAGGGGCACATAGGAGTAACCTAAGGAGGGCAGGGGGACCTTTCCCATGGGGATAAGGGAAGGGATGGGAGCTGTCCTAGGAAGCGGGTGGGTGAAGTCTGGGAATTTTTAGTTAAGGAATGACAGAGCATAATGTTTTCCTCCCTCTAGTCAGGGTAGGATTTTTTTATTAGAGCTAGAGATTCCCCTCAGGCAGAGGGAGGGAGGAACTAGGGGATGATGGTGGTAGGGGAAGCTTCTCTCATTCTTGATTAGATCCCTCTCAGCAGAAGACAGATTTGCCTGTGGATGGCTTTTTCTGACTGGGGACAGGAGAGGCAGCAAATGACCCCCCCATGGAAGTTTATTTCACAGCCTTCCCCATGATGTGGGGCCCAACAGGTAACCATTTGAAGGGAGGGGGCTGTCGTTCCATTTGGATCTCAGAGAACTGGGCATTCTCCAGGTCCTTCCAGGTCTCTCTGGTAAGGTAGCAGCCATCCCCAATGTGCTTCCAGGTGGGCTCAAAAACTTGCTGCCACATGAAGGCCTGGCTTCCTCGCGGATAAGCCACGTGCTCCCAGAAGAACAGCACTCCTCCCTGGGAGGGAGGAGAGGGTCAGTGTCACTAGCTGCTCCATCCTGCTCCTTCCTCCTTCCCTCTGATCAAGCCTGGCCAAATCTCTTAGTGAAGTGGGAGCAGCTGGTCTGAGACTTTTTGGAGCAAACTGCTGCTCTGACATTTTCTACAACCCCTGCTCCTACCCTCCCTCAAGGGGCCTGTGAAGAACCTCTTGTAACTGAGGGGGAAATGACTGCTGAGAGATCTTTAAAGAAGGTCCAGAGGGCAGACAGAGGGTGACTAAGAAACAAGGGCAGATGGCTCAGTATATACAGATGCACCAGGCCTCTCTACCAAGACTCAGGTGCGTGCCATAGCTGTTCCTGACATCTCCTCCAACATCCCAGGGAAGCCTCAGACCCTGCCCGATAACCACAGGGGGTTTCTCCAGCTCTTCTCTTCCCACTACCCTCCCCTAGTGATTCACTCACCCCCGTGCTCTTAATTAGCAGCTACAAGCTGGTGATGTCCAACTCTCTATCTCCACACTGCATCTTTTCCTGCCTCCAGTTCTAGCCCTCTAACAGCCCACATGGTTTCTTGCTTGGCTGTCTCAGCAGCTCCTGGGACCTAACAAGTCCCAAACAGTGTTCCTCCATTCCAGCAAATGGTCTAGCACCCATTATCCCTTCAGTTGCTCACACCAGAAACTTGGAAACTATCCTAAACTCCCCTCTCTCTATGCCCCGCTTGTAATATTATGGATTTAAAAAGTGTGTGGATTCTACTCCCCCTAATATCTCGACTGGCACACTTATTTCCCCACCCTCCCTGTCCTGTTTAATTCTTCTGATCTCAATTTAAACTTCACTTCCTTAGGTGACTTCTCCACCTCCCTCCACTTCCTGTTAGGTGACTCTCCTGTCTGCCCCAACAGCACCCTATTGGGTCCACCATGGTCACATCTCTTATTCAGCAGCAGGTGGCGGTAGTGGGGTATCTAATGTACTAATACCTCAGTTCCCCCTCCTGGGGCCCCTGAACTCTGGGGTGGCCAATGCTGTTTGCCTGCCCCAGGCCCCCGTCCTTCCCACTCTGCTCACCGGTCTCAGCACTCTGTGGACTTCCTGCAGGACCCTCTTTGGGCTCTGCACAGAGCAGAGCACCAGAGTGCAGACCACCACGTCCATGGAGCCATCAGCCACTTGTTTCATGTCCTCTCCAGGGGCCACCACAAACCGCTCATATTGGAGGTGCCTGTTCTCAGCCATGCTCCTTTTCAGGAACTTCTCAAAGTGGGGATTTGGGTCCAGGCAGGTGATCCTGCAGCCAGCAGGATAGAACTGGAAGTTGGCACCAGTGCCACAGCCCAGCTCCAGCAGGGCCACCTTCCCTGAGGTTCCCATCAGCCCCTTTATCTCACTGAAGAGCTCCCGTTTCTTGTTCTCCATCTTGCGGTTGGTTTTGTCAGCCAGTGCGGCCATCAGGTAGGGGAAGTAGCTTTTGCACAGGGGCTGCCAGAAGCCCAGCAGAGCCATCAGGTGCAGGGGCAGCGTCAGGAGCAGCATGAGCAGCTGCAGGAGTTGGACCAGGACATCCATGGCACCAGCTTCAGGTGGTGCTTCTGTTGGGGCACTGGCTTTCTTTCTCTGCCCAGCCTCTGCAGAAACCAGTCTCCCCTCCTCCTGTTTTAGGACTTTTCTCCTTGTGTCCAGATTGGCAACCTTCCTTACAGGGTGGAGAGGGTGTGTGGCATTCCTCCAGAAGGCAAAGTCCTCACAGTCCTATGGGCTCTCCAAAAGCTTTATGTGGGGCCAAGGGACAGGTGGTGCCTGTGTTCTGGGGAGCGCTGCCCAGCTGAGGAGGGAGGCATGTGCTGACTCACCTTAGAGAGAGATGTTAAGGGGGACCAGGGTTTATATCTCAGATTACTGCTTCATGGGAGCCAAATATCAGGGAAGAGCTGAGTCATGGGGGGATGTCTTAGTCTCATTCTGATCCCAGGTCTGCTTCAATTGGTTGTGCAAGCTGGAAATTCTGGTTGGGTTTCCGGAGCACACCCTCAGGGTTTGATAAACTGTAGCAGGCCTTTGCCCTAGATGGAGGCCAAACAGAATGTTCAGGATTAGGTCTGATTGGTCTTAAGAAGGAGGGTAGTTACTGGTCAAAAGAAAGGCATTTACTGAGTTTACTGGTGTTTGTTATTATCCAAGGCCTCCAGGCTCCAGAATTAGGAGAAAAGAAGGGGAGGGAAAAGCAGATTCGGAGACCTGGGTTCAAAAAAGTCTTAGTTCTGCCACTTTGGCCTGTGTCCCCTTGGGCAAGTGTTTTTACTTTCTGTGTTTCAATTTCTTATAAAGAGAATTTGTATAAAATAGGGAGTATAAGGAGAGGCTAGAGGGCCTATACAATTTTCAAAGTGTCCCCATGCATCACACATTTGTGTGATCTAAGAAGAGTGGGGTGACAGCAGGAAGCAGGTGACCCTGGGTGTCCTCACAGCTCCCTGGGGACCTGGATCACAGCCTCGGACGGTAACCCCTCATGGCTTCAGGACCAGGCCAGAGATTGCTGTGGAAGAAGGGAAGTGGCAGACAAAAGGTGTTTGGGTCACAGGTGTCTCAGTACAAAGTCCCCAGGTCCCGGGTTATTAATGGTTCTCTCTCTTTTTTTAAAATAGGTTTTTAAAAATATTTTTTTTATTTTAGTTGTACACGTTTATTTTGTTTATTTATTTTTATATGGTGTTGAGGTTTAAACCCAGGGCCTTGTGCATGCTAGGTGAGCGCTCTACCGCTGAGCCACAACCCCAGCCCCAATGGTTCTCTTTTGGATGAAGCCTCCTCAGCATCTTGGGAGCAGCTCTCCATTGTGTATTGAAGGCTGCACACCACCTGCATAGTGACCAAAGGAAGGTATTTTTTGTTTTTGTACTGGGGATTGAACTGGGGATTAAGCTACATCCCCAGACTTTTTTATTTTAAATTTTGAAATAGAGTGTCACTAAGTTGTCCTGGCAATCCTCCTGCCTTAGTCTTCTGAGTAGCTTAGGATTACAGGTGTGTGCCACTGATCTGGCCCCAAAGAAGCATTGTTAAGTTAGGTTCATGTAGCTATCGAACAATCTGAAAGTGTATTCTTAGTTATTTTACCTTTTTATTATTATAAATGAGGGACTCTTCTTCATTTTTTGGGATTCCCAGGTACAAAATGATATGTGGAAACAATGATAATTTAATTCTTTTCAATTTTGTTTTTCTCTTGCTTAAGGTCAACAATATCAAATAGTGAGATGGACACTAAATTCCTTTTCTTCCTGAAATTAATGGGAATGTCTCTAATAATTTCTCACAGGTAGTCGTTTATCTGTATTTTTCAAGCCTCTTACCCAACTTTTTAAAAATTTATTTACTTTTTAGTTTTAGGTGGACACAGTATCTTTATTTTACATTTATGTGGTGCTGAGGATCGAACCCAGCACCCCATGCATGCTAGGTGAGCACTCTACCACTGGACTACACCCTCACCCCTTTTCATTTTATTTTGCAACAGAGTCACATTAAGTTACCCAAGGTGGCCTCTGACTTGTGATTCTCACTATTTTTAGGTTTCCAAGTACCTGAAATTACGGGTGTGCATCACTATGTCTGGCTACATTATATTTCTTTTCTTTTTTAAAGAGAGAGAGAGAGAGAGAGAATTTTTTAATATTTATTTTTTAGTTTGTTTTCGGCGGACACAACATCTTTGTTTGTATGTGGTGCTGAGGATCAAACCCGGGCCGCACGCATGCCAGGCGAGCGCGCTACCGCTTGAGCCATATCCCCAGCCCGCTACATTATATTTCTTATGTTTGAAGCCATAAGAGTGGTCTCTGGGTGATTGGACCTTGACTAGTATGCCCATTAATAATGATGTAAGCCAGGTGTGGTGTTGCATGTCTGTAATCACAGCAACTCCAGGAAGCTGAGGCAGGAGGTTCACAAGTTGGAGGTCAGCCTCAGTGACTTAGAAAGACCTTGTCTCAAAATTAAAAGGACTGGGGATATAACTCAGTGGTAGAGTTACCCAGGGTCAATCCCCAGTACTGCAAAACAAAACAACAACAAAAGATACCCCCTAACACCTCCAAAACCCACAAACACACACCAAAACCAAACCAAACCAAACCAAACACCAACTCCAAAAACAAAATAAAACAAAACAAAACAGATGTAGCCTTTGGAGTTGAGATAAGAATATTTAAATTGTGTTAAGTTAGTATTGACATGAATGTTTCATATCAGATTGCCTGTGTTCAAACCTCTTAAAACTCTTCTTCCACCTTTACTCTCAATAAGTGAATTTGTCTCATCCTTTATTTGTTCCCATCTAGGGGTGCTGGGTTCATTGTCTCTGTTTAAAAAAGAAATTTGAAGAACAGGACACAGAGATAGCAAGCAAGAAGTAGGTTTATTGCAAAGGTGATAGAGATACAGAGAGAAACTCTCCGAAGTAAAGAGGTCCCAGAGCTGGGAATTCGGTGGGGGAGTTTTGGTCTGTTCTTTTTATGGTCTCTGGAATCTCCTCCTTTCCTTATCTCCTTCCCATCCATACTCTTCTCACTATTATTGATTGGTGCCCCCTCTGTCCACACATCTTAGTTTTTCTATTGAATCCCCCGCTTAGGAGCATGAGTACAGAAGTGTCTGTCTGATTGGGTCCTCCACTTGTGTGCATGAGCACTTTTGTCAAGCAGGAAGTTGGCCTCATCAGAAGACCCTCTCCATGCTCCTTTGTTCTGGCCCTGCCCCTGACTTCCTCACTATCTAGCCCTTATTGCCTAAGCCCTTCTATATCTCCCTCATCATGATAGGAGCTGTCAGATTTAAACTTTTTTATTTTCTAAGACTTATCTATAGTGGGTAGGGTTGAGGCTCAGTGGTAGAGCACTTGCCTAGCACGTGCAAGACAGTTCGATTTTCATCTCCACATAAAAATAAATAAAAAATAAAGGTATCGTGGTCATCTACAACTAAAAAAAATGGGAGTGGGGAGAGATGATGGCGGATTAGCAGGAAGTGGCTTTTCTCACAACTCTGTGACTTAGTACTCAAACAGTAAGAAAACTACTTCTCTGTGAGGTAAGTGAAAAAAAAAAAGCACTCTACTGATACTCAGTATTGGACAGAGAGCCTCGAAGACTAGGAAATTTTGGGTACATCAGATAAGGCTAAGTCTCTTGGTGGAAGTGGGTAAAATTGATACACAAGTTTGAAAATGTTCCTAAAGTGCTGGAAAAGTCTTGGTGTGGGGAGTCCTAGGATGGAAGGGGCAGCCTGCTGTGGGCCGACCCAGAGGCTATTTGGCTCATTAAACTGGGTACACCAAAGTTAGGTCTGCCATATGTGCACAGGGAGCCCAAGCAAGAGATATTTTGGTACATCCTTGTGGCAGTGGTTCTAATTCAGACTGGGAACTTAGGTTCATGAGTTTGAGGCTGGGTCCAATACATGAATCAAGCAGATGCCAACTGCAAGATCTAAACTAAGCCTAGAAAATCAGGAGAATTTCTGGCATGCAGAATTTCTGGCACGGAAACCATTTTGGCTGGCGGCAATACAGATCAGAAAGGCCAGAGAAAGCCTGCCCTCCGTCCGGCTCCCTTGAATCTGGCATCGGGCAGAACCAGCCGAAGGGAGAATTTGAATGTGTCGGAGTGACTGAGATCAGTGCTTGGAAACCAGTCCTGGAGAGGCCCAAAAGAACAGTATCTCCAAAGACCAGAACTGGGGAAGAACCCACTCCCCCGTCCCATGAGTGGTGGCCTGGGGAGAGTAGTGGGATATTGATTTATTAATGCCCATGCAGTAAAACACCTGGGGCAATACCAGACCTAAGCTCTGCCCTGGGAGCTTCACTTGCAGGAACTCATCTCACAGAACCCAGCAGTAACAATATCCTGGAAGTGATCCAAAAGTACCTTCCATAGGTCCTCACACCATTCTGCTGAAAAGGGAGGATGAGAGATGGAAAGGCAGTTTAGCACAGACAGCTGGCAAATACTCTCATTGACTATTCTGTTATTTTGTTTTTGTTTTGTTTTTGAATGTGTACTGATTGATACATAATGGATGTTTATACATTTGTATACATACATATTTGTTTCTGCTTTTTCTTTAAATTTTTTAGTTGTAGATGGACACAATACCTTTGTTTTGTTTATTTATTTTTATGTGGTGGGGAGGATCGAACCCATGTTAGGTGAGCACTCTACCACTGAGAGCCTCACACATGTTAGGCGAATGCTCTACCACTGAGCCCCAGCCCCAGCCACTGTTTCTGCTTTTTCACTTTTAGCGTTTCTTTGAGGGTAGTAATTGTTCTGTGCTCTATTTTTTGAGGGTTAGGGTTTTTGTTTTGGATTGATTTTTCTATTGTTTGTTTCACAACTCCATTTCCCTCTGTTTCTGTTTCTCTCTCTCTCTTTTTTTACTAACAGCCAAACTGTTTTTTTTCATTCTTCTGTTAATTCTTTTACTTCTATTCTTCTTTTTATTCTCCCCCCTTATAAACACAACTACATAGCTTCTGCATTTGCCTTGTTCATCTCTTGAATTTAAAAACCCTTTTCTGCCCCCATCTCTTCTTTCCTCTTAATGAACTCTATCTTTAACTGGATATTTATACAGATTCATATCTGTTTATTATTTCTCACATCTAGCACTTTTTTAAAGACAGTTATTTTTTATGGATAAGTATTTTGAGGACTAAGATGTTTGATTAGTATATAACAATTTTGTTCTTGTGTTATTTTATTTATTTTTATAAATTTTTATCTTGTACATTTTTTCTCACTTATATGTTTTCCTCAACTCTCTTTCTCTCTTTTCTTCTTCTAACAGCCAATATCTACTGATCTCTCACTTTTCCTTTAATTTTTTTACTTCTCTTTTCTCTCCTCTTCCCTCATAATCATCACATCCTACATCACATCTCTTCTAACCCTATTCACTGCTGAAATTGTAAACCCTTTTTATAAACTTACTGTTTTTACTGTGGGCAATAACTGACCATATCATTTCTCATTATTGTGACAATCAACATTGTAGATTTCATAGCAAGAATTGTTTGTTTTAATATTGTAAATAATTTGCTTTGATTGTTGTTATTATCTGTCTCCCTCCAATGACTGAATGTACTTACTTCTAAGGAGCACATGGATCCTTCTCTAAAATAGACCATATCTTAGGCTACAATAGACCATCTCTTAGCAAATACAGAAAAAAATAGAGATAATACCTTTTATTTTATAAGATTATAATAGAATGAAATTAGAAAGCAATTAAAAAATAAAAAATAGTCTCTAACATTTGGAGACTAAATAGTATGCTATTGAATGAAATATAAATGAGAATAGTGACACAACATATCAAAGTCCCTGGGACACTAGGAAGGTGGTTCTAAGTTCATTGCACAGAGCTCATTTATTAAAAGAATAGAAAGTCACCAAATAAATAACTAACTTTACATCTTAAATTCATAGAAAAAGAAGAACAAATCAACACCCAAAGCAGTAGAGACAGGAAATAATTAAAAATCAGGCTGAAATTAATGAAATTAAAACAAAAAATTAAAAAAAATCAATGGAACAAAAAGTTGGTTCCTGAAAGAATAAACAAAATTTATAAACACTTAGCCAAGCTAGTAAAGAAAGAGAAAGAGAGAACTCAAATTACTAAAATTCATGATGAAAAAGGAAATACTATGATAGACACTATTGAAATACAGATGATAATCTATACTCCAATGAAACAGAAAATCATGAAGACATCCGCAAATTTCTAGAGACACATGACCTACACAAATTGAATCAGGAGGACATAAAAATTTAAATAGATCAATTTCAAGCAGTGACATTGAAGATAACATCAAAAGCCAACCAACAAAGAACAGCCCAGGACCAGATGGATTCTTAGCTGAGTTTTATCAGACTTCAAAGAAGAACTTATATCAATACATCTTAAATTATTCCATGAAATAGAAAAGGAGAGAACCCTTTCAAACTCATTCTATAAAGCTAGTATCACTGATACCAAAACCAGAAAAAGACACATCAAGGAAGGAAAACTTCAGACCAATATCCCTGATGAACAGATGCAAAAATTCTTAATAAAATACTGGCAAATTGCATTCAAAAATATATTAAAAAGATAGTGCACCATGATCAAGTGGGGTTCATTTCAGGGATGCAAGATTGGTTCAACATATGGAAATCAATAAAGTAATTCATCATATCAAAATAGACTTAAAGACAAGAATCACATGGTTATTTTAATAGATGTAGAAAAAACCTTTGACAAAACTCAGCAACCATTCATGCTCAAAACACTAGAAAAGCTAGGGATAGTAGGAACTTACCTCAACATTGTAAAAGCTATTTGTGATAAACCCAATGCCAAATTCATTCTAAAAGGAGAAAAATTGAAGCATTCCCTTTGAAAACTGGAAGAAGACAGGGATGCCCTCTATCAGCACTTCTATTCAACATAGTCCTTGAAACCCTAGCCAGAGTGATTAGATAAAAGAAAGACATTAAAGGGATACAAATAAGATACAAAATATCCCTATTTGCTGATGACATGATATTATATTTAGAAGACCCAAAATACTTCACCAGAAAGCTTCTAGAACTCATAAATGAATTCAGCAATGTAGCAGGATAAAAATTAAGACGCATAAATCAAATGCATTCCTAAATATTACTGATGAATCAACTGAAATAGACATGAGGAAAACTATCCCATTCACAACAGCCTCAAAAAAATCAAAATACTTGGGAATCAATCTAATAAAAGAGGTGAAAGACCTCTATAATGAAAACTGAAGAACACTAAAGAACAAAACTGAAGAAGACCTTAGACGGTGGAAAGATCTCCCATGTTCTAGGACAGACAGAGTTAATATTGTCAAAATGTCCATACTACCAAAAGTGCTATATGGATTTAATACAATTCCTATTAAAATTTCAATGATGTTTTTCATAGAAATAGAAAAAGCAGTCATGAAATTCATTTGGAAAAATAAAAGGCCCAGAATAGCCAAAGCAATTCTTAGCAAGAAAAGTGATACAGGAGGCATCACAATGCCAGACTTTAAATAACACTACAGAACTATAACAAAAACAGTGTGGTATTGGCACAAAACCAGACATGAAGATCAATGGAACAGAATAGAAGACACAGAGACAGATCCAAATAAATACAGTTATCTCATACTAGACAAAGGTGCCAAAAACATACATTGGAGAAAAGATAGCCTCTTCAACAAATGGTACTGGGAAAAATTGAAATTCATATGTAGTAGAATGAAATTGAATCCCTATCTCTCATTCTGCACAAAACTCAACTCAAAGTGAATTAAGGATCTAGGCATTAGACCAGAGACCCTGGGCCTACTAGAAGAAAAGTAGGCCCAACCCTCTATCACATCAGCTTAGGAATTGACTTCCTCAACAAGACTCCTAAAGTACAAGAAGTAAAATCAAGAGTCAGTAAATGGGATGGTATCAAACTAAAGTGTTTCTTCACAGCAAAGGAAACAATTAAGAATGTGAATAGAGAGCCTACAGAATGGGAGAAAATCTTTGCCACCTGCACTTCAGATAGAGCATTAAGCTCCAGGATATACAAAGAACCCAAAAACCTTAACACCAAAACCAAAAACAAACAGAAAACTACACTCCACCAAAACCCTCCCAAACCAAAAGAAACCTCAAATACAGATAACCCTTCAATAAATGGGCAACGGAACTGAACAGGCACTTCATAGAAGAAAAAATACAAATGGTCAACAAATATATGAAAAAATGTTCAACATCCCTAGCACTTAAAAAAAAAGCAAATTAAAACTCCACTGAGATTCCATCTCACTTCAGTCAGAATGGCAATCATCAAGAATACAAGTAATGATAAATGTTGGTGAGTATGTGGGGGAAAATCCATTGCTGGTGGGACTGCAAATTGGTGCAGCCACTCTGGAAAGCAGTATGGAGATTCCTTAGAAAACTTGGAATGGAACCACCATTTGACCCAGCCATCCCTCTTCTTGGTCTATATCCAAAGGACTTAAAAACAGCATACTACAGTGATGCAGCCATATCACAATAGCTAAGCTTTGGAACCAACCTAGGTGCCCTTCAACAGATGAATGGATAAAGAAATGTGGTATATATACACAATGGACTATTACTCAGAATTAAAAGAGAATAAAATTATGGCATTTGTAGGTAAATGGATGGAGTCGGAGAATATCATGCTAAGTGAAGTAAGCCAATCCCCCAAAACCAAAAGCCGAATGTTCTCTCTTATATGTGGGTGCTAACCCACAAAAAGGGAGGGGGAAGAATAAAAATTCATTGGATTATACAAAGGAGAATAAAGGGAAGGTGGGATGGGATTTGGAAAGACAGAGGAATGAATTGGACATAACTTTCCTATGCTCATATATGAATACACTATCAGTGAAATTTCACATCATATACAACCACAAGAATGGAATCCTTATTAGAATAAGTTATATTCCATGTATGTATAGTAGGTCAACAATACATTCTACTCTTATGTATATCTAAAAAGAACAAATAAAAAAGTAAATAAAAAAGACTTACCTATAAATTATTTTCATTTTCTCCTATCCCCTCTTGTGACAATAGAGGGTCTGTTGTTGTTAATCTGTTTTTGTCTATTTTATCGCCCGTTACCTTAAGTTTCCTTACTGTCATTTAAAAAATTTTATCTTACTGAAGAGCTTTATTGAGGTATAAATCATCTACAATAAAATCCACCCATTTAAATTGTGCAATTCAGTGGTTTTCAGATGTTCACAGAGTTGTGCAATCATTACTATAATCAATTTTAGACCATTTTTTTATTGCCCCTAAAAGAGCAGTCACTCTGCTTTCCTTTTAGCACCCCCACCAACTTCCAGGCTACTTTGTGTCTCTGCCCTTATTTACTTATCCTACATATTTCACATAATTGGAATCACAATATATGTGGCCTTTGTGACCAGCTTCTTTCATTCCACACAGTGCTCCCAAGGTTCACCTGTGTTGCAGCCTGTATCAGTACTCTTTCTTTTAATCCTTTTATTCTCAAGTTAAGTTCCATTGTGTAGCTATGCCTTACTAAATCAACCCATTCACCTCTTGAGTTGTTTCTACTTTTTGGGTATTATGAATAACGCTGCTGTGAATTCTTAGTTTTATCTGTTCTTTCTCCTGAATCATTAATCTCTGACTCTTTGTAAGTCTTTCAGCCTATTAATATGCTCAAATGTATTTTAGGTTATAAAATTGACCTTCTCTTGACTCCACACCTCACTGTAACTACCGCCCCCCACATAGATCTATTTCAAAGTCATGCTTCTCAAGTCCTCTGTTCATGTTATCTTGATTCCCTCCCATTCACTCCCTTTCCCCCTCCAATCCATCACTGTATTTTTTAAAAGTTTGTCTGCTGATTTATTTCGCATCTTTAGAGATGATATCCCACACCACAATAACTTACATGCACATGCACACACATGACTTCATTTACCTTAGTTCCTTTTGCATCACAGGAACAAAGCCATCCTTAGCAGTCCTCACATTGCTGGTTATATTCATTAGACGTGGTTTATTTCAGAAGTCCCAAAAGGCTGGGCCCTTAGCCAGAGAAGTAAGAGTCCTTGAGTCAATCGCTATAACCTGAGATGCATGCAGACACCACTTTTCAGAGACCAATCTTTTAAAATTCATTTTTATTGGTACATTATAATTATACATAATTTTGGGGTGGGATGGGGTGGTGGCACATGTCTGTAATCACAGCTGCTTGGGAAGCTGAGGCAGGAGGATCCCAGATTCAAGGCAAGCCTGGACAACTTTGCAAGACCCTGTCTCAAAATGCAAAACAAAAAGGGCTGTGGTATAGCTCAGTATATATATGCGTAACATTGGGATTCATTGTAGCATATTCATGCATGCACATATTGTAATTTAAACAATTTAATTTCCCGGTACCTTCTCTTTCTTTCCCTGGTCCCCTTCCTCTACTTCTGTACTCTCCTGGTCTCCCTTCTATTTTCATGATCTCTTCTTCCTCTTTTTCACTTTTTTTTTCCCCCTAGCTTCCATATATGAGAGAAAACAATGCCCCTTGACTTTCTGAATTTGGCTTATTTCATTTAACATGATAGTCTCCAGTTCCAACCATTTTCCTGAAAATGACATAATTTTGTTTTTTTATATTGAATACAACTCCATCGAGTATATATATCTCATTTTCTTTTATCCATTCTTCTGTTGATGGGCACGTAGGCTGTTTCTCTAACTTGACTACTGTGAATTGCATTGCTACAAACATGGGTTTGAATGAATCACTGTACTGTGCTGATTTTAATTCTTTTTGACAAATACTAAGAAGTGGGATACCGGGTTATATGATGGCTTCATTCTTTGTCTTCTTGGGGACCTCCATAGTGCTTGATCTAATTTATAATCCCACCAACAGTGTTTATATGTTTATTTTCCCCCAACCCCCAGCTTTTATTATTTGTATTCTAGGTGATTGTTATTCTAACTGGAATGAAATGAACTCTTAGTGTGGTTTTGATTTCATTGCCCTGAGGGCTAAAGATGCTGAATATTTTTTCATATTTTTGTTGGCCATTTGTATTTTTTCTTTTGAGAAGTTCATTTGCCCACTTTTGATGGGGCTGTTTGTTTCTTTGGTGTTAAAATTTTTGAGCTCGATGCTGGGGTTGTGGCTCAGTGGTAGAGTGCTTGCCTAGCATATGCAAGGCCCTGGATTTGATTTTCAGCACCATATAATTATAAATAAACAAAATAAAGTATTGCATCCAACTATAACTAAAAGATAAAAAAAAGGTTTTTGAACTCTTTATATATTCAGGATATTGACTTTTTTGTTGGAAGAGTACTGGCAAAGTTTTTCTACCATGTGAGTGGGAGTGTGGTTTTATATTTGCAGGCAGGAATGTTTGCTGGAGTTTAAACTTCAACTAGGCCTGTCTTTGAAACACCTCCTTAGGCTGAAGATCAACCAGTCATAGCCAAATGGTCTTGCTCCTGAACTGGTTGAGTCCAGACCTGTCCATGTCCCCAGGTAGACTCTATCTGATCTACTCCCTCAAGCTGCTTGAGGACAGCACCCTTTGACTGTGGGTCTATACGGAACCGCAGGTATTCCATAATGGCTCTAACAGCCCTCAGTCCTTTCCAGCCCCCAAGTCCTTTCCAAACTCTAGTCCTTTATTTTGTTTATTTATTTTCATGTGGTCCTGAGGATTGAACCCAGGGCCTCACACATGCGAGGCAAGTGCTCAATCGCTGAGCCACAACCCCAGCCCCATCCCATCCCTGTTTTCAACGTTGACTAAGGCAGCCCAGAGTGAGGTACAGGCAGGTATCTGGCCCCCTGGGCTCCATTCCAGGCTCTTCCATCTCCAGATGACCTTGGGCAAAGCATTTAATCCCATGGGCACTACAGTCAAATGACAGGACCATCCTGGCTGCCTTACCGGGGGAAATCGGGGTTCTAAAATCCTGTGAGTTCATTAGAAAGTACATAGGTGACCTCAATCCAACCCATAAGGCCATGGTTTTGAGCAACTTGGAAAGGGAGAGATGAGTTAGAGGGACAGGGGACACAGAACATGTCAGGTCAAAGTGGGGGACCTAAAGCTTATAAGAGGTGCTCAATAAATGTCAATTAAATGATTGAATGAATGAATGTTGTGAATAGGGTAGGAAGACAAATCAAGGAAGTCTAGTTGGGTTTCAGATGGATATGCAATAGACAGCCTTCTATCTCTCGGCTCCTGGCTTAACACTTGTGCTGACTTTTGCCATGGGTATTTTGCTCCTCATTCTCCTATCCTGGTGCCCTCAGATCTTTCCTAAGAGGTGGGATTGCGATGAGCTGACCTTAAGCCTTTGGTCTCACCTGTGCTCTTTGCTCTTTGCTGCCCTAACAAGTTGCACTGTCCCTCTGAGCTGCCCATAAAGTTGTGGTCAGAGAGTAATGCCAGAGGGCTCCTTCTTGAAGGGCTCAAATTACCAAGCTCCTTTCCTTCTCACCTGTCATGTCATTGAGGATGAGAAGAAGTGGCCTAAGGGGGGATCACTTGGGGCAATGGAGCACTGAGTGGCCACATCCTGGACCAGCCAGGAGCACTGGGAACATGCAATGTCCAAGAACAGCCTAAGGAAGCCCTGCAGTATTGTTCCTACTCCAGGGTCTTTTGAGGGTGGCCTGGGGTCCTCACCAGGGCCAGGCCTGGGAGCCTGGGCTTAGCTCAGACACTTAGACACATACAGTACTGTCTCCAAGAGTGGGGAACACAGGCTTCCAGCTTCCCTGCCGGGGCCCTGCCCTCTCTGGTTTTTGGTTTGATGTTAGCTCTTCAGTACAGAAAGGGAGGAAGGTGGGAAGAAGAGGAAAGGAGAGCCCCTTTAAGGCAAATAATTTATGCTTTACAAAGAGCTGGATGAGACAAAAGAACAAAACCCATGATGATCAAGCAAACAAATAAGATGAGTCACAATGAGACAAGAAAGGCAGTGACGTGGAGGGAGGAGTAGGAGCAGGGATGTCCAGGTAGCACCTCAGGGGAGGCTGGCAATGTCTCTGGCTTGGGGCTGCTCTCGGGTTTCTTTTCCTTCTAACATCATGACTAACCTGAGGACAACTGACTGCTTCCCCAGTGTCATGTTCACAGGTCTTGTAGGAGATGGTGTCACGGACCCTAACTGCCATCTTTGAGGTGGTCTTCTTTATCTCCAGGTGGGTCCCCAAGACCAAGCCTCTCCATCATCCTCTTTAAAGATATCAATTCAAGTGCCATACTTGTTTTTGAAGGCTGTGAGCCTTTCCAGCAGGTTCTCTTCATCCCTCTTCTTCTGGTCACAGAGAAACCTCTGGTTGATCTCCATCAGACTCCTCTCCCTGCTGGGCTTTAAGCAAGTCAAACATCTTCTTTCCTTGGATTCTGTGCTCAGTGTGAACAGCATGGTGTGCTTTGGGCTCCTTCAAGGTCATGGCGAGGGAGGAGGAGGGAAGGCACTTGGCCTGAGCTTTGGCTCTAATATGAACTGTTGTTATCACAGTGGTTTCCACATTTCCAGCTCCAGCAAATAGTCCCTGTTCTTATTTGACCACTTTAACAGCTTCAGAAATAGTTGGCTATGACTACTTTCTTGAAACATTCTCTAACCCTGGCTGTCCTAACATCACAGTCTTTTTCTATATCACCTGCCCTGCCTGTTCTTTCTAGATCATTGAGGCCCTAACATGCCCATCTAAAGAATGTGGCTCTTATACTTCAGGAATTGGGAAAGAGTGAGCCTGCTTGAAACATTTCTCTGATGGTTGGTTTAGGAAAGAAAGACTGGAGGTTAGGAGACCATTTGAGATAATTTGCAGTGGTCCAAGGAAGGGATAATGAAAAATGGAGCAATAGTGCTGGGGACAGAGAGGAAGATATCTGTATCTCTATACATAGGTTACATATATACATACATACATATATATGGGTTAAGAAATAGCATTTTTTTTCATTTAAAAAATTTATTAAAATATACATAACCCAAAGGACTTAAAATCAGCACACTACAGTAATGCAACCATGTCGATGTTTATAGCAGCTCAATTCACAATAGCTAAACTATGGAACCAACCTAGCTGTCCTTCAATAGATGAATGGATAAAGAAAATGTGGCATATACACTCAATGGAATATT